TAGTATAGGTAGGAAAGTAAAAAAGTTGGCCTGGAGATGAAAGAAACAAAGATAAAGTACATGGTGCTGTCTGCATATGGAGTAAGAACTTTGGCTGATTTCCAGTTAAATATTTTTTCGTATAAAGCAGTTGAACACTTTAGTTATCATGGAGTAAATATTAATTGTGAAGAGATCAGGAAAGGAACAAGGTAGTTAATAGAGCATTTTAAGCATTTTAAAATTGACACTTGTCTCTGAAGCTACCAAGATGAAGCTTTACAACTCGATTGTCAGGCCTCTTGTTTGTTATGGTACACAAACCTGGACGCTGAAAGTTCCAGACAGACATATGCTAAGTGCATTTGAAAGGATGATCCTAAGGCGTATTTTTGGTCCAGTTTGCGTCCAGGGAGTGTGGCGTATAAGAAGTAACCAGTAGCAGCTGGAAGACTTAATAAGGCATGAAAATATATTACGCTTCATAAAATCATGAAGAATTAGCTGGATCGATCATATGCAGAGAATGGAAGATGATAGGATGACTCTGAAAATAATTGGAGAGAATGTTCCCAGGAAAAGAAAAAGAGGATGTCATATGAAATGATGGTTGGATAACCTAGAGAAGAACCTGGCAAGGATTGGAATCACTGAATGGAAACAGTTGGCATTGAATCAGGATGCATGGAATCGAATTATATGGCAAGCCAAAGTCCACCTTGGACTGTAGTGCCGGTAAAGTCAAGTCAAGTCAATAAGTTATCTGACATCTGGGGATTAGTAAGACAAATCACAAATATTTTTATTTTAAAATATACAAATATCCTTTATTTTATCAAAAACAATAAAAGTGTTTTATTACTCAATTGAATGGTCAATTGCCAGTTAACTCTTCATGTTGCTCTGACCCTGAAAGTCTCTACAGAATATTTTGGTGAGAGATCAGAGATGCACTGTAATATATTAATAAGGGTCCTTATAAAATTTATAAGGAGCAACTGATATGATAGTGGTTTTGAACTCCAGACAGAGTTTCAGTAGTTTTAGGAGTATAGAAAATGAAAGAGTAGAGACAGGACTCAAGCAAACTTTTACCTAAAGTTGATGAAGAATTTAATTAGATCAATGGGAGTTACTATCTATAGCTTTAAGAAATTATAGATAGCCCAAATGGGGACATCCTATTAAAAAAAAAAACTTTCTGTAGGCTGAGTGTATTTCGGTAGATATTTCTCTCAATCATTGGGTCGATCTACACCTGATGTAAGAATGTATGTATTTATGTAAGAATGCAAGAATAGATAATCAAATGCCACAACAGGACTCAAGATCTAGAGCATAGGAGCAGATCATCTTAATCACTGAACCATCTATTGGGGACAGCTCATATCATATATAAGTATAAAGCTCTCTATAAACAAAATTAAATTCACCTAAAAATGGCTGGATAGCCGAAAAGTAGAAAATAAAAGATTATCATTAGTGAAGCTTATTCATTCTCAAGAATTTTATTGGTCTAGGGATATGTGAAAATATTTTGATAAGAGTTTAGTGTTAATATTATCTTGGATTAAACCTAACCAAATTTATTATGGGACTTTATTTTGGCTTTATTTTTTAGTATTCCTTTTCTTTAGTTTATTAAGAGAAGAGTTCATTTAGTAACTGGAGGGAAAGAGAGGTTTTGTCTGGAACTTTGTTTAACTCCTAAACTAAATGAAATGAATCTTGTATTATCGAGATCGTTTTATATCTCTAATTTATATGCTCTTTCTGTTTGTAAAAATAAAATTAAAAAATAAATAACTATTTATTGGTGTTTCCCTGACATTAATTGTTAACAGGTTTTTTTTTTTTAAATTATGTTACACTATATTTTCAACACATTGTAGTTAAAAGATCAACATTATGAGATCAAGTTTAAAGAATTTTTGTTCCATTTAACGATTTTTGTTTTTTTATATATAACTAACTCATGAACAACCAACACATAAATTCTAACACTTTACATGAGACTGTGAAAGAATTACATTACAAAATTAAAATTTTGACTACAACAGTCGGCTGGGTGTGGTGTTGCGTTTCTTGTAAATACTACTTTCCTATAAATTGCTTATTTATGAAGCATGCTAACTTTCTAATGTTTCTAAACTTTCACTAATTATATAAAAAAAATATTTTGAATGCCTTAAGTTTTATTATAGTGAGTGCTTAAAGCATATTCAAAACATGTTTATTAATAGAATTATAAATAGTATTTTAATGTAAGATATAATAATTTTATAAATAAAAAAAAATTATTAACATTAGAAAAATAAAGTTAGAATATTATAGCAGGAGCTCCTAAAGTAAAAGGCACAAATCAAAAGAATCGTTAATGTGTAAAATAAATTTCGAAACATCTATAAATAATTTGAACTTGTAAATATATATAATGGGCAGTGTTTGATCTGTGAAATTTTATTTCAATTCTTTTTCAGAAAAATGTTCATTCATGTTGGAATTCATTACTGTTTCAAAACGTTAGCATATTTATTCAATAAAACTTTGAAATTAATAGCATTTATGGAAATAAATTTGACTTAAATTAAAAAAAAAAAAAAAAATATATATATATATATATATATATATACACTCCAAAATAATCTTGAAATCAGTTCATACTGTATTTTAAAAGCTAAATGGTGAATCTCCATTAACTTTAGGAATTCCTGCTTCATTATTACAGTGTTAAGGTTTCCTTACATTAGGTACAATAATTTTTATTAAAATTAAATTTAGAAATTAATTTAATTATTTTAAGATTGATGGTATTTTTATACTTTTTTACTTCTCTTTATTCTAAAATAATAATTAAATAACTGAAGCAAGAGTCTAAGAGTAGATGTTAAGAAAACTTTTTTCCCCATGGTTTCATTTTATTTATTCTCAAACAATTCCATTTTTCTCCTTTATTGCTTGTCTCATTTCAGCAACTATTGTATTACTTACCGTCTTTTTTTTTTTTAATTTGTTGATGTTTTTTGAGTGTATTTATTGTATTGTTAATTAGCCTGAACGAAATTGACCATGTAGTAGAAGATAAAATCTATTTTAAGCACTAAAGTTTTTTTTTTTTTTTTTTATAATTTATATTCATATAATTTATTCTTATCTATAAAGCTGAAGAAAAAACAAGTCTGAGTCTAGAAATCTTATGACTATTCTGTTTCATATTTATAAATATGTGACTTGATGCTAAAGTCATTTATTAGCTTTTTCAATTAAAATTCATGAAATACATTCCATACAACAATATCCTATGAAGAAATTTTAGTCAGTTGAATATCCATTCCTTGTAGGATCAATTATTTATATTTTATTTATTATATCTTTTTTTAAAAGATTTCTCATTTTCTTTTATTGACCTACACAATAAGAAATGAGTTTTTCTTAATTATCAGTAAGTTGATGTTCATCTAATTTGTGGTTAGTGGAAATGGAAAAGTTGCTGATTTGGATAGGCTGAAGGCAATCACGATCTATTGTATCTTTTCTCTGTTTCTTACTAACGTAGGAATTTCCATAATGACCTTCTGGTCTCTTGCCACTTTTTCTTATTTAAAATGTAAAATTTATTTAAAATGTTTTTTTAAAGACTTCAGTGATTTTATTTACAACAAATTTACTATTTATACCTAATCCCGTCTTTAATGTTCAGCTGGAAATGCTTGTTTCTACAGCTCTCCTTCCGATTTTATCTCTCTTTCTTCACTATTCATACAAATTAGTTTAGATTCCATTGATCCTAATCCGTTACCTAGTCGTTAGATTACACCATACCCTATACAATCACAGTGTCAGAGAATCCAGCTATTCTTTCATATGCTCTCCATCACGGAAATTGTGGAAATAATTTTGAGTTTTTTTGTCATCAATAACTTCATCATTGAAAACAGAACATCTACTTGCCAGAAAATTCTGATTGCTGAGTTTCAGAAATCATTTCCTGTTTATTTTACTTTGCTTATTCATAACTTCATATTTGTTTTATTATCTTAATAAATGAATTTTGATGGCATATTTACTGTGTTTTTACTTTATTTTTTATTTTTATTATTTTAATAATATTCTAGTATCTTGATATAGAGGATGGGATAGCCAAGCACGTTAGGGGTGGGTCACATAATGCCCAGTTGTGAACATTGTGGGTTTGATTCCCCCCTGGGTTAGTTACTTTTCATTTTTCAGCGGTCCCGGAAAATGGATTGTGACATTCTCACTCTGTTATGTAGGCGGCCTCAAGGTAGCCGTCTGAGGTTGGCGAAAAAGACCACAATAGGCCCACATGCTGGGCTGATACCAGCACCAGTACCAGCATCTTGATATATATTAATATGATTTACTATGATTTGCTAGTTTTTCTTATATTAAAAAATATTTTATTTCTTCTGCTGTCAGTCCATTAAACATATAAGTTTGAGATTGTTTTCCCATTTTTATTAGAAACCTTCTAAAATTTTCCTGTTATTTTTTTCTGTTAGAAAAATTCCTGCCATTGGAAAAGATTTTTAACATTTTATTCTATCTGTTAAGAATACTATTTATTACCTTAAAAATTAGATTATCTATTTTGATAACTTCTGTTCTCAGAAATGTTTCTTCTTCAGTTATTGACTTTGTTTATTTAGCTTAATATAGAAATTTTGATTTCAATGAAAGTTAGGATATAATTTGAGGCAATTTTATAATTATTGCTAACCATATTCAACTGCAGATAGATTTTTATTAGTCACTCCCTTAATGAATCAACACTAAAAAAAATAGGAGTGTTCGGTTGTTAACCAGTATGCTTCCAGCCCCAATATTCTTCCAACTTTTAATTGTTCTCATTAAATATTTTTCAGATAATATTTCTAGTAAAAAGGTTTAAAAATATATATATTTATCATTTTTATAGTATTAATTACATTGGTTAACAATCGAACTTGAGGAAAAAGATATTCCACAATGTGGTTATCTCATCATTAATTTTTTCTAAATTATGTTAAGGTAGAACGAGAAGGATGGACTGTTGCAGGTTACCAGAGAGATGGAGTAGGTGCCGTGAGTACGCCTAGCTCACCAACAAGTCGGCTGCTTATGGAGTATGAAATGCATCTTCGCAATACGTTGGCAAAGGGGATGGATGCCGAAAGCTACAGCTTACATACATTTGAAGCACTTCTTACCCAAAGCATGGAAAATCTTGGTATGTACAATTGGAAGAATTAGGTATTATCGTATTGTGACATAATTTCTAATAGTTTGTGAATTGTTCATCAATTTCTTTCATCCGAAAATTTAAATATGAAATAAATTGGCATGTTGACATTGTTGTGTATTTATCTCCTTTCAATTTTGTAACCATTGTAAAAAGATTGTTAGTTTGTGAGTTAAATGCTCCAAATACTCCAACCAAGATTAAGAAATGCAATTTTTATTGTTATACTTAACCTGGAAGACTTTTTATCCTATTAATCATTGCAAAGAGTATGATTGTATGCAGTTAATGTATAATATCAACAATCACAGGAGCAGACTTTCCATTCTGGTTGGGAAAGGAGATGAACTCCGCTTCCCAAAAAAAAGCATAGGAAATTTAGATTAGGTATACAAATTAACATACTTATTTTAAAAGGAATAATATAATATAAAGTATATGTACAGTATAATTATTTTTTAACATAAACAAAAATTTCAACAATAGGAGCATAGGGTGTGGTTAAATACTTGCATACTTACTTCTAGGCTTTAGCTTAGACATCTAGTCCACTTTTCCTGTTTTCTTGATGGATTTTAGTTTACATATTTTAATCATTAATGTAGATTAATTGTTATTGATTTGGATTTTTTTTTTTTTTTTTTTTTTTTTTTTTTTTTTTTTTTTTTTAGTTTTTGTTCTTCGAAACAATTCTCTCCCTCTATCTATTTATTGGGAAGAAAGGAGGGTGATTGCCCTACTTGCTTGTATTATTATACTATTTTAATGTTTATCAAAAATATAGATAGAGGAGCTTATATTTGAAAGAGCACATATTATAAAATAAATCAAGTGTTTTTCACGCTTCTAAATTAATTTTTATGAGCTGAATCAAATCCAACAATCATTTACTGTCACAACTGGATAAACAAATCTATTTCTCTGGCAAGGCTTACATTAGAAATACTATTTAACTAACATTCTCATTTTATTATTTCACTTACTGACAACTTTCCAAAATTGGATATACACCCTTTTGAAATTAAGCTCCACATATATGATGCATAAAAATTATTATTAAAAAATATTTATGGTCAAACAATCCATCATCATCATAATAATCTTTAATCCCCATTTAGAACTGCTGTGCAGGGTGTGGTTACTGTTTATAGAGTCTGGACCAGATGCCTCGCTCTCTGGCTAACTTTCTTTTCCTGCCAACTTTTTTATAACCTGTCTCCTTAACACCTCTCGGACACTGTCCTTCCATGAGAAGTATAGTCATCCTCGAGGCCTCCTTCCCTTCACATGGGTCTCTGCAGGTCATCCTGGGAGTTCTTTCTTGGTCTATCCTAAAATGATGTCCAAATTATCTTAGCTTGTGCTTCTCTACGATGGTCTTAGCCAGTTCAACTTTGAGGCTAGGCAGTATGATGGTGTTCCAGATTCTATCTTGTCAGACCTTTCATTCCACTATATGAAGATTGCACACATCCATGGATTGGATTCCACTTTTGTATTTTGAGGTGAGGGTCCATGATTCAGTCGAATACAAAAGGCTAGAGAGGAATGTAGATTTATAGATGAACATTTTTGTATTCTTGATGACCTCTTCCTTTGATGACCCAGAAAACCCTTCCAAAGTGAATAGAATACTCTTCCAGCTGTTGATATTCTCTAAGTCCCTTCCACATTGATATAACCACTTTCATTGAGATGAGCACCCAGATATTGGAGATTATCCACTTGGTCAGGTCTCTCCATTTATTTTCAGAACTATCATTATTCTCGGGTTTTTTTTTCCTGATTTGATTCTCATATTTATTGTGGTTATTTCTTCTTCTTCTTTTTCTTCCTTTAGTGCCTCAAGTGGAGGGGCCTCAATCCATTTACGTCAGTCTTCTTGATCCTTTGCCAGCATCCTTATAGAACCTAACTGATTGTCTCTTTTCTCTTATATCTTGATTATTTCATCCACCCATGTTTTCTAGGTTCGTCCTCTTGGCCTCATTCTTTTTTCTTGGAGAAAGTTTATATTGTGTTGGAGGCCTCAGTTAGTCAGCTAAGAAGACGATGTCATCTGCGAATGCTAATATGGAGAATCTTTTGGTGTCCTTACTGGAACTGACTCATTCTTAGTGCAGCTTTCCTAAGTGCCAGGACTAAGACTAATATGAATAGTAGCAGACTTAAACTACAACCTTGGTGAATACCTCATGTTGTCGAAATTCATGTTGAATTGTTAAGTGAAATTCATGGTCCTAACAAAAAATCGAACTAATGCCAATTTAAAAGTGTGTTTATGAGATGAGATGGGACTTAGAAAACATTTTTCCAATAATATTTTTATGAAGATGCATAATGCTAATGTTGAGTGCTGTTTTAATTTACTGATACCTTTGTTTAGGCTATATTTATTGAAATTTAATTAAATTATTATCATCAAATTTATTAATTTTTATAGAATTTGCTGAACAATTGCCCTCGGCAAATACTAGGAGTCCTTATCCAAATCGTAGACGTAAGTGTATTTCATTTTATCATTAAGTTTACTTGATTACTATTCTATTAGCATCGAACTGTTCAATGACTTTGTGTATTTTTCGAAAGGTGGTGGTAGTAGCTCAATGAACAAATCGTCTACTTTACCTCTACCTCATAGGCTAAGTCTGGAAAGGCCTGCAAGTAGCGCAGCAGTGAGGGATGGCTATTACAGTGATCGCAATGAAATGGCTAGGGAAAGGGGCTATCTTTCTGATCATAATACTTCAAGGTAAGAACTGATTTTTAAAAAAATAAATTGTAAATATTAGCATGATTTTTTTTTGCTCGCATCATTATTTTATTGACAATTATGTCTATACCACCAATGTATTCAGCTAGTTGCATGTTTCCAGCCACTCATTGAGTCACGCTCTGTTGCAAAACGTATCACGAACCTAATAATGAATTTCATATCACATACTGGGAATGCTAAATATATCTTACGTAGTTTATAATTCAATAAAATATATTCAATAAATTTATTGTTAATTGATATATTGAAAAATGTGTAGGTTTGTTTATTATTAACAAACTATATAAGGTTTAATGGATGTGTTTTCACTGTTATATTTTGATCTGAAACTATAAATATTGCATTTTAATGTTGAAATAAGGCATTAACAGATTCAATTGCAGTTATAAACCAGTGGTTGGTCATGAAACATTGCTGTTTGTTAATTGAACTTAGGTGATTGGCTCATCAATATTTTATTATTTAGTTGATCGAAGTTTGTTATTTATTTTTTCTGACAGAAAAATTATAAAAAACACAATGTGGAACTATAATACAATTTCATATTTATTGTCAAGTTGCAGTTAGTTTTTTAAAATTTTGATTACCAACATTTCAATCCAAGCAAGTGGATCATCATCAGGGTGAGTATTAGGAGGATGATTATTGAGAGTACTTGAACACCTTCAGTACTGGTAACATGCCCTGATGATGACCTTCAAGCTTGGGTTGGAACATTGACAATATAAATCTTATAAACTGACTGCTTCCTGACTGTCTATCATCCATGCTATATAGAACAGTCGACTAATTTCCATTGATATTTCATATTTATTGTCTTTTTTTTTTTAATACATTGTTATTGCCATTATACATGATTTATCTAACACACTCTTAACTATTTAAAAAAAATCCTTTTTGCTATATTCAATGTAGGTATAGAGATGGTTGACCATGATATAATTTGAGGAGTTGCGGTCAAATAAATACTAATTTTTTACAATTGTATTTTAATTGTTACGCTAACGTTTCGACCCACTTTGTTGGTCTTCATTAGGGCTACAAAATATAAAGGTACACGGTGAAAATAAAATAAATGAATTATAAGGAGATATTAAATAAGAAACAGTTATCTGATAAAGAAATAATAAGATGACATCAGAGATACAGTGAAGTTGAAATATTAAGCATTACATATATAAGAGATACAAACAAAAATAGAAAATAAGTGTGAATAAAAATAGAAAACAAAGGTGAATATAGCGTGTAAGTTAAAAGTAAACAGATTGTGATAAAAGATAATAAATGAGTGGATAACAAACTGGTGAAGGTTACATTTGATAACTGTAGGTTAACTTAAAGAAAACTTAAAGAGAACTTAAAGAAAACTAGGGTTGACAAATAAAGAAATTGAAAAATAAATGAGCAATGATCTAGGAAAGGTAAAATAAGAATAAGATATCAGTGGATAACGAGTTGGTGGAAGTTACACTTGATAAATGTAGGTAAACAGATAATGAGACTAAAGGTTAACAAATAAAGAAATTGAAAAACTAGTTTTGTATTTTTGTTTGTATCTTTTATTTATGCAATACTTAATATCTCAACTTTACTGTCACCCACTATATCTCTGAAGTCATCTTATTATTTCTTTATCAGACAATAGTTTCTTATTTAATATCTACTTATAATTCATTTATTTTATTTTCACAATATACCTTTTTATTTTGTATCTTTTGTAGCCCTGATGAAGACCTACAGAGTGGGTTGAAAAATCAGCGTAACAATTAAAATATTATTGTAAAAAATTAGTATTTATTTGACAGCACTCCCGGACCAACTCCTTCTCATATATTCAATATAACAACAACACAATTTTTAAATCAACACTGACACAAATAAATTAATCAAAATTTATACTGAAGATCTAATAAACCATTAGATATGTACTAATAGAATGGATAAGGCATCAATTAAAAGAAGAAAAATCAAACTGGAAAGACTGAACTTCGCCACCAGGAATGTTTATAACAAGAAAAATTTGTCCTCAAATTCAAAAATAAGGCATTACTCTACAGTGGCAAGACCTGTAATACTATATGGCATGGAAACAGTCAGCCTTCCAAGCTTAGAGAAAATCCTGAAGATTTAGAGGAAGATTCTGAGGATGATCCACGGACCCAAGGTAATGCAAGAGGGATACGGATTAAAATCCAATAAAGAAGTATACAGAAATTTGGAAGATTTGGAAACAGTCGTCAGGACCAGAAGACAGAGGTTCTACGGAAACATGGACAGAATGGGGGATGAATAGTGGAAGAAAGAGACGAGAGAGAAAATGGACTAAGGAAGAATCCAGGAGGATAAGAGAGTATTGGAGTAGGAGGAAGGCTGAGCGTGTGAAGAGGAAACGGAAATGATATTCGAGTGATCCTTGCTGGTCTGCTTGTGTAAAAAAAAAAAAAAAATAAAAAAACCTTTAACAATTTAATAAACCTTAACCATATTTTTGTGAAGAATGGTTATTTTTTGTTCATTAAATATACTCTAACAAAGGTTTCTATGTAATGTTAATTATAACATTTACAACAGGCTACCAATATGGCAAACAGGAAAAAGCCAAATAAAATTATAATATGGGTAAATACAGAAATCCTCAATGAAAGACTAAAAACTATCGAGGACTAGTGGTAGGCAGGAAATATAAAATAAATTCTATGTGATCATTAACAAAGAGAAGGATAGAAGAAAAATATGCCATTCTGACATCAAAAAAAGAAAATAGTAAGCTTCTGGAAAGAATGGACCTGATATGCCCTATTCTAAAGAAGTGTTTTTTATATGAATTTAGTAATAACAGTGTCTTAGCGCTTCTTCATGTTACTTGAAATATAATGACCACTATCCTGCTAAACTGGATATATCCGTATTGTGAAAATATAATAAGTAAGCAGGATTCAAAAGAGGAAGGAGCATGGTAAATCTGGTCTTTATCAGAAAGCAGGTGCTTGAAAAATAATGGAAAGTAGCTCAGGAAATGCACACCTTATCGAGTAGCTTATAATTTTCTTTTTCAAGAATATTGGGTACTGAAAAATCTCTGGATATCTCAAATTAAGAGTCTAAAATGTTATGATAAGCAGACCATCAGAAAGGCTCAAGACTGAATAAATATAAATTATTTCATCCAAAATCTAATATGTTTTTTAACAAATAAAAGTTCGTAAACATTAAATACTGTGTTATATTCTGAAATTCTTTTCTTTAGAGAAACATATTTAATTTCACTAATTTTTAATTTGTGGTTGTCGCTCATTCTTACAAATAAATTTATGCCGACTGGAATATCCTATATGTGAAGCGTTTAACATGCCATGATATGAGTCATAAGACGTGTTTATCTATATACTCTTTTATCTTTGCAGAGATATTACTCTCATTCAAAATTTGTCTAAATATTTCTTTGTCTCTGAGTAAAAGTATTTTTGTTATATTATGCATTATTATAAGATGTGCCAGTTAACAAGAATTACTGATTATTGATAGATGCATTTCTTTTAGTATTGCATGTTGTGAATATGTTAAGTTTATTATTGTGCAATACATAAACAAAAAGTAAAGGAAACAATAAGTTTTCAGAAACGTCTTTATTATAGTTAATTAGATTGATTTGTCCAATTTCTGAAGTATTAATGCTCGGGTAAAGTCTGCTAGAGTCAACTAAGTGAAATGTTTTTACATATGGATTCAAATATCTCAGAAACTAAAAATCGGACCTGTATACTTTAAGCAAGAGGATTGTTCATCATTTCATCCTCTTTGTAATAGGCTGTTATTCACAACTGTATCTTAACGCAACACCATGTTATGGATGCGAAAATGGCATAAATTGTGTCGAAAACCAAATGATAACAAATTTTATTGAAGATATGGATTAAAATATATTGGGAACTAAAAATCGGACCTGCATAAGCGAGGGAATTGTTTAGCATTTCATCCTCTCTGTAATGGGCTATTGTTTGAAAATTGCATCTTAATGCGAGGCCATGTTTGGGAAGTAAAAAGGAAAAAATAGTGTCACAAACCAAATTATAACAAGTTGTATTGAATATATGGATTGAAATACCTCAGAAACTAAAAATTGGACCTGCATACTGTGAGCAAGGGAAATGTTTTCTGGTTGGAATGTTTTAAATTTTCTGGCTTCTAGCCTGAATGCATTCACTTCTTAATAATAGTAACCATTAAAAGCAAATTAATTTATCAATTTTTGTACAGATCTCAATGTATCTCCTAGGTACATTGCTTGTCTTCATTGTTTATTTTATTTTTTCATTCATTTCAAATATGAAATGCTTACTTTGGATATAACATGGCCATGCTTTTATTTTATAAAACTCAAAATATATTGAACTTATCGCAAAATTACTTAATGAATTATAGAAGATTTCAAATTTCATGAATGTTTTGACAAAAGCGATTTCTTTTCTGATTCAATTCCTTCCTTTATGAAAGAAAAAAAATGAAATATTACACTCCCTACAATGCTGATTTATACAATATATCATCAAATCTATTAAATTGATAGCAAGAAAATTGATATTGGTATAACATCAAGATGAAAAACATAAAATTTGCTTGTAAACTTAGTATAATTTTTAAACAGCTGAAAAAGTTACTAATAAACGTCTGGGAATAGAAGGATGAAAATGTGTAGAAAGGAATTTGTTAAGAATATCAAATCCTTTTAAACGGTATTTTAAGTAGAAATTAACATATATTTTTCTATTCTGCTAAGTATCTTATATCATTAGGTTATCATTTAAACAGATTTATATATTTGTTTATGAACTAATTATTATTATAATTATAATTAATGATATTTAATATTTATGTGAAAAAAACTATTTGTTAATAAAAATCCTTGAGTTTATGAATGAGTGAACTGTGAAATATATTTATGTAATTTTGTAATATTTATTTTAAAATCAAAATTTCATTAAATTATATGCCTCACGATTTTATTTCATATTTTTTTTAATACATTAATTGGGTTCTTACCTAATTATCCATGAGCTATTGCCAGATTTCTTGGTAGTTCTTGCAATATTTTTCAAGTTACTGATATTCAGTCGTTCTTCAGGAATCACATGCTACAACATTCAACCATGTCACTTTTGTTCTTTCAACATGTATTATCACATTAAACATCTTTGGGGTTTATTTTATCGTGTCCTTGCTAAATATTCAGCTTAGGTGATCTTTCTGAGTTTAATTATTTGAGAAAGATAAGACTATTAAAGGACTCGGTAGGCAGAGGTTCACAGAAGGGTGTTTGATTGTGCCATCATAATTTTTGAGGGGGTATATTCTGGCAGGATTTTGAGTTTTTGAGGGGGCACATTTCGGCGGGGTTATTAATTTTCAGAATAAAAAATTCCATACTAACGAACAAGGAGAAATCTTGGAACAGGCTGCAGCAAGTATACATGTGTATGACCTACGATTTTTTAAAATTTTACCTTCACTTGCTCTTTTTATAAGAAAGGTTGAGCAATAAAATATCATGGGAGTGGAGGAAATAGGTTCTTGCGCCATCGACTTTAGGGGAGGGAGGATGGGCACCTCTGTTGGCAGGTAACATTAACAATATTAATTATCTGTTGTGGGCACCTCTGGTATAGAATAATCCACTTTTTTTTTTTTGTAAACCTGTGTTTGTACGGATCAAGAATGTTTGGATGAAAGTACTGAAAGAGATCCCTTCTTTTTTTTTTTCAGTTATTTGTATAATTTGCTTTTAGATTGTTTAGTTCTGTTAAAAACTCATCTTATTCAAAGAAAAGAAATTAAAAGAAACTATAATATATGTTGTTACAATATTACATTTTGAATTGTATACAAAATTGTTCTTTCCTTTCTACTCCGTCTGAAGTGTTTGTATAAAAATGTGAGTGCAGCATTTCGTCTAATTTCTTATTAATAAATAAGTTCTTAAACCATTCTATTCTTAATTAGTAGTGCATCTTCTATTAAGGGAATAGTTACATTTTTATTTGTTTTCAGAAAGTTGTTGTGATATCCTCTTCAATCTTATAAATTATCAGTGTTTGTTGTGAAACTTATGATAGTAACAAACAAGTTGTCAGTATCTATCTATTTTTTACTTGTAAATCATGATTTCTTCAAAATTACAGTTATTATCAATCAATATTTTATGAACTACCTGTCTTGATATTTATTTTTATATTTGTTCTGAATGGTTGCATTTAACTCAATGGATGTAAATTGTTTGGCTTATTATTTATTGGTATTCACTAATATTGGGTTGTAAGTAAATGTTAAAATAGTGCTGAAACATAAGATGAAAGACAATAGTTACAGAAATATTTTGCCAAATGAATTTATTGTCATGATGCATGCTTTGGAATGTTTTGCTCTAGCTGCATATATCTTCTATGTTGCATTGAGGGGTGATTACCTTTCTGTTGTTTTAATTTAATATTCAGCAACTTATTCGCTCGATCTGAAAAAAAATTTTGTTTGTGGTCTTATGCCAAACACAAATAGCTAGTGGAACCAAATGCAATATCCTCTCTTACCTGCTTGCAACTAAGTCCTCTTAAACACTTTTAAATTTAAATGATCAATACCAATCGAGTTTATTTGTCAGTCGTTGTGCATCCTGCTTGGGTGAATCTGCCCGAGCGCAATGGTTCCGGCATTCAGATGGTTGGCGTTCCGGGTCATCAACACTAGGCAGCTGCGGAAGCTATGCAACAAGTACAACAAGTACTCGTCGCTCTCCATGGGATTCTCTTCCGAGTCTCAGGCATGAAGGAAGTCTCAATGATTCAGGATACAAAAGCAACAGAGCTGACTCCTTTGAACAAAGGTTTGTTGTATTACATCATACTTTTAGGTAGACTAGATTTCGTTATTTTCTCAAATTAAACAAAAATTATTGGATTAGGAATTTTCAGTCTATTATTCTCTTTGCCTTATTATTCTTGTTCCATTATCTTTCATGTGTCACTTTTATATAGGACCTTCCAAGTTTATCTATTACTGATAATTTTGGCGTCAGCATTATTCCTCTTTGAATTTCTGTGAAATCTAAAACTGCATTGGTGTTGGTATTTATGAATTTTATAGAAAATGATTTCAGTCTTAGAAATAATAACTCCTTTTTGAAGTAATTGTTACATTTTTGTGGTTTATCTTTTAAACTTAATTTGATTTCATTGAAAAATAATTATTTAAAATGCCTTAATTTCGATGAAATATTCGTGGATTTCTTTTTTTCAGTTATTTAAAATATATCTTGGTTAGATTCTTCCAAACCAGAAAATGCATCGTAATTACGACTTATCAATTGATAAGTTGATAATTGATAAGTTAGTGAACTTTTCCAGATGATTTTTTTTTGTAGATTCCTTTATATATAATGCCAATAGATTTAGAGAAAGTCTTGATTGACAGGAGTTCCCACCTAGAGCTGGTGACGTCACTCCTGCCCGGACTTAACCTTTATCAGCGATCAACAGTTTGTTTTACTGTTGTTTGCAGTAGATTGACAAGTGTATAATAAAATATAGGATATTTTTATTTGAATAAATATTCAACAAATAATTGAATATAGTATGATCAATTACTTTGAAAATATTAATTTTTTTTTTTCATTCATCATTATTGTTTAACCTGGCATGCTGTACATAGACGAATTTTCAATTCAAATATTTGAAATTGTTTCTTAAATATATGTATATTCAAAAGTTTAACAAGGTTTTATAGATATAAAATTCAAGAGTATAAATGGATTATTAGAAAATAAAAAATTCATTTATTGATATTTCATCACTATTATTTTGTTTAATCTCTTTCTTTGGTAGTGAAAAATAAATTAATAGAACTGTTGGTAACACTGCATTAAACTTATTTTATACCTAGTTATAACTCAAATTGCTTCTAATTAATTTTTAATTTTAATTTAAAAATGTGTTAATCTATTATAAAAACTCTTTATAAACTCAATAACATTCATTTAACTTGGTGTTTTTCGCCTTTTGTGTAGAAATATGTTTCATTAGTTTTGGAAATACAACAATAATGATGTTTGTTAATGTACGTATATATTTCTTTGTAATAATAAACTTCACATTTTCTTTTTAAATATCATAAACAGTAACCTATCCGCAATTGACATTGAATAAAAACACGGTGCTCGCTAATATATAACTTATAAATATGCCCGCTAGTGAAAAAAGATTGGGAACTCCTGGTATAGAATATCACTTTCTGAAGAGTTTTGTTTGAATTTTGAAAGTTTCAGCTACTTATTGATCAAAGATTTGGTCAATTTATGAGTTTGTTTATCACCTCTTGAAGCTGGCTGGCAATATTTGGCATTTTTCTTTCTTTTATGTGTTTATTATTTACTTTTTGTTTTTTCATGACTTTCTTTTCAGTGGTAGAATTTATGTATTTAAAAAATGAAATATCTGTATATTGAAACAAAATGGCCAATGTCCGAAATTAACATTTGAATAAACTGTGTGAAAGAAATCAGTGTAAGGTATTCATTAACTGGTATAAATGTCAATGTCCTCCAACTTAAAGTTACTCTCTATAGCTAATAGTCAAAAGATATTGGCCCTGATTTTTTCATGCAGTCCGTTCAAATATCAAAGTTTTTGGCATTTATTTCTTGCAAGATATAGACTTATTTTAGTTAGCCTATTCAATAATTTTATTTGAGCAGATATAAAAGAAAAGTTGTCTCAAGAATTAAAAAGAATTTATGATCTGCTTATTATTTTTCTTTTATCTTCATCCTATTATTTTTTATTTTTGTTCTTTTATTATTGACTTAGTTTCTACAGTTTTAATTTTTATTTTATTTTCACTGTGTAATAATTTTTTATTTTAGTTGAATTCCTAGCTCCAGACTTATTGTTATTCATAATTATTGGTCATAGTTATTTACTAATAACATGTTCAGGAGACATGTAATAATTGCTGATTGGAAACATAAAAATTATGTTTATTTTGACATTTATTTGCTATTTATATTCGGGCTACAGCTAATATACGTTTCTCCTCCTTAAAAGCTACACGATATAATCTTAATATATAAATAACGTAATAGCTGGTTGAACTTGTTCTAAAGTCTGATAAGTCAATTTATCCATTGACTGCAATATTGGTTACTTAACTAAAGCTTTACTCTTCCATATAATTTAGCCTTTAATAATTTAATTTCATGAGAATGATAATGATTTCAATTTTACCTTTTCAAAGTATATTCAGTTGAATGAAAGAATTTGAAGTTATTTATTGGGGTACACCAGTTTTCAGATTATTAAATGCGAAGCTTCTGATATTTAGTTATTTTCTGTAATGCTTAGTAAGGTACCTACTTATGGATTCATGTACCGATTTTGGAATGACTAGCACATTTTGATAAGAAATATGATTAATTGAAAAATATATTTCAATTTACTGATTAAAAATACTGTTGTGGTAAAGTCAAACTGTCATCTGCTCTGGGATGAAATTGGCATCACTTAGAAACAATTTTACGATTTGTTGCCAACACTACAAGTTGGATGGAGCAGTTTTTAAAACATAAACTACCTTAACCATTAATTCAGTAGAATAGTAAGGATTAAGTGAAAGTGATCCCATAATTTTATATGATTACGATAAGTGTTTTGCCTGGTTTGTTTTTATTTTTAAAAAAGTCTATAAACTATGAACAACATTCTTTCCTAGCAAATAAAATTATGTACATTTTGATGTACCATTAGTAGTAAGTGGAGTCCAGAGGGAACAGCCCCCTTTCCCTCCCCATATATGTGTTACTGATTAAGCTGTCGAGAAGGGAGACAGTCAAATCTCTCAAATAGATGGATATTTGATGGAGATCATTGAAATATGCAAACATCAAATATAAATTATTGGAAAATGAAATTAAAAAATGTTATTTGGGTATGTAAAAATTTAATTTGATGAAAATTTTTCTCTTGCACATGATAATCATAAATTAGGAATGAGGGTTGAATGCAAATGGAGTGTAAACAATTACAAATTATCTATCTTAAGATTTTTTTTTTTTTTTTGATTGGAATAAGGGCGTATTCCAATATTTTAAATCAAGAGCTGGAAGCTGGGTCATCTCAGACAAGCTTACATGCAGATTATCTGATTAAATAATGGTCTTAAAAAAAGAATGAATTATGGGCAACATTGACATTTTTTTCTAGCATATGAAAAGAAGTTATATGATTTGTGATTTGATTCCGAAACCTATGTTTAATATTTTTATTTTGTATTGATGTTTGAAATAATTAAAATAAGTACTGAGAAGGAAGAGGTGAGGTGGATGTAGTGGGGACTACAGCTAATGGACATTTCCCCTCTTTAAAAGCTTCACAATATAACCTTCGATTTTAACATTTTATCCAGTAAGATTGAACAAAACGTTAAATTTACAGCTATGTTTAGCTGTTTATAAAAACAGTTAATTAATTATAAAAATATTTAGTCTGTGGTACAGACTCCTTTTTATCAAATTATTAACATCTGGCAGAAACTTCGTAAATAACTTCATCTCATGAAATAATTTATTTACGAAAATTCTAGGAATTGGAGCGATTTCAATCTGGAGGTTGGCAAACTTTCTGTATTTAATTAGAAACTAAAAACTGGCAAATACCCATTTCCTTTTCATGTGGAACGTAAGATAATTTGATCACAAAATAAAAAAAAATAAAAAAATGGCCTACAACAATATTGGGCCGTTTGGAATACATAATCTCGTTATTTTGACAATTTAAGGATGTAGGTCATGCCAAACCGCTTAATATTTTTGAAGGCCACCTTTTTTTTGATTTTGTGATCAAGTTATCTTACGATTCGAGTGGAAAGTAAATGTTTATTTACAAATTTTTAGTACCTAATTAAATAGACAAAGTTTTCCGACCTCCAGATTGAAAACACCCCAATTCCAAGAATTTTTCTAAATAAAACATTTGTAGGTTACGATGACATGATGCTATTTATGGTGTTTCAGCTGGATGTTAATAATTTGATAAAAAGGGATCCGTAGTACAGTCTGTACCACGGCTAACTATCAAAAACCATTTTACTATTATAAAATGTAAAAATAAAAAAAAATCTTTATTTATGTTAAACTTGAAGCATGTCTCTCTTAAATTAACCTTTAAACTAATCTTTTTACGAAATTAAGAGTGCCTAACTCTTATTTTGCATCTGGTTAGTCCTACTATTTTTATGACTTTTACAGTTTAATTATTGTTATACAAAACTATTCAAATATATATACATATTAAAACAGACTTAAAAAACTAGAATTATGTGTTATTTGGGAAAAAAAACTTTTTATATAAGTATTTATAAAACTGTATGCATTTGTATATGATATTGTTTACTTTGAAATAAATGAGAATGACTAATATTACAATGGAGTTTGATTGGGTTGAAGAAACGTCTAGTGGTATGTATTTAAATCAATATTTTATTCAAACTCCTCCCTGTATTCAACTTCACCTGCTTGATATCCTTATGAATACTGTATTGCCTTCCTTAATATCACCAATGCACTATCCCTTCCTATGTTTCACTGTTCTTAAATATTCGTGTACCACTACAATTTGAGATCCCTAAATTATACGAGGTTGATAAGTAGAGTGGTTGGTAAAATTTTCATACTTACCTCTTTTTATTTTGGTGGTGAGGATTTTTCCTATTTTTAAAAGGTATTTAATTATTTAAAATTAATAATATTCTCTAAAGAATGGTTCGGTTGTTATTTGTTTCTTCTTATTGAACACATATCTCATATTTGTTGTTTCTTTTATAAGGGGTGCCTTTGATCGTCAAGATAGCCTTAGAAGTGACTACATGAGTGACAGAGAAACATCAAGATATGGAATCGTCCAGCAGGCGTCCATTGAAAGCACAGACTCCAGGTTATGTTACCTGACTTCTTCTGAGGTGAGTAGTATAATTTCATTTTTTTATCTCATAACTTTTCAGGCAGGGCCGCCATCAGCTGAGCCAGAGACTTAGAAAAAATAATACAGTAGGTTCTATGCAACCAAATATTTT